AGAGAGAGTGGTAGAAGTCAAAAAGTGTGATATAAGTCAGAAAGTGTGATAGAAGTCAGAAAGAGTGATATAAGTCAGAAAGAGTGATAGAAGTCAGAAAGTGTGATATAAGTCAGAAAGTGTGATAGAAGTCAGAAAGAGTGATATAAGTCAGAAAGAGTGATAGGAGTCAGAGAGTGATTTATCCAATGACTCATCTCTTTTTGCTGCACTCTGCTTCACTGTTGAACTCTGTGGAAGCTCAGTGTCCACACTGTTTAAAGCACTGTGAAGCTGCAGGAATGAGTCAGGAAAGCTGTGTTGTTACCACTGATAAGGAGCCGATTCTGATCGAAAGGCGTGTTGTAGCACATATTTAGTCAATGACATGAACACACAACAGTGAATATTTGATCACTTAGTTTTTGACATTTTCGGGGAAGCTGAGCTTCCCTTGCAGTCTTAGAGCAATGGCCTCTGCCTTGCTCTAAGCTGACCAAGCTGTGATAAAACCTCCAAAAATCATAAATAATAAAAACTTCTGCTGCCTGTCTGTATTCAGGTTACAATCTCTCCAGTCATGTTTTTCAACGTAATCAGAAGAGGTTAGGTTAGTACTTTATGACTTCTTTTCAGATTCATGACAAACTTGAACAAAATTATTTCAAGACAACAAATATTTAATATTCTTTGTGCTCATGGAGGGCTTTGCCTGTTGCTTTTGCTGCTCTTTTTATTTATAGCCAGGAAAGCACCTAACCAAACAGAGAGTTGGTCACGTCTCATGGAAACTCCAGATCTGTTCTTACTGCGAAGACGCTGCATGTAAATTAGAAAAGGAACTTCTTCACCGCCTGAACAAGTCAGCAACTCTGAGTTCCACACTTACACTGACTAAATCCATATTTGAAGGTTAGTTAGAGTGCATGAGACCAGTGATAGTAAGCATCATTACACACACACACACACACACACACACACACACACACACACACACACACACGTGTGTGTTGCTCTGCATTAATTTAATGTGTTTGCGGCCTGTATAAACAGGCAGTGCAGTGTGTTGCAACAGTGTTAAACTGTGTTTTCTCACCATGTCTGAGAGCTGAGGCTTCAGGTCCAGCTTGAGGAAGCGGAATGCCAAAACTGGAACTATGCAGATTGCTGTCGCTAGTGCAATAGTTAACCACACGACCGGCTGCAACAGTGTGTTTTGGGCACAACCTGAACTCACAAACAGAAGCAGGTGGTTTGGATAAAGTGAAGGTTTATAAGACTTTTATTTGACAAGAAGTCTGTTTGAGTGGTAAAGAAATATAGCAGGGGACCAACCTACAAAGTGGAACTGGTTGGGAAAGATCCTGAAGAGGGTCTGGCTGTGCAATGCAAACATGATGGTGAAATAAAAACCCAGTGAGCCCCACACGAACATGTGGTTAATAACTGTCCAGAAGCCCGTGTCGAGAGCGATCTGCAAGACCAAACAGGAGTACAAAAAACAATACATTAGGGTTGCACTGTGGTATAAAGTACCACAAAGTAATACTTGAGTAAAAGTACAAGTATCTTACAAAAAATACTTTGGTAAAAGTTAAAGTGTCCTTTAGGAATATTACTTGAGTAAAAGTCTTAAAGTATGTGATATTTGTTGTAGTTAAGTATTAAAAGTCAAAGTATAGATTTAAAATGAGCAGTTAGATTTTCTGTAAGGACATTTATTAGGAGGTGACCTCCCCAAAAACTGCAGAAATGACTGTTGTATTAAAAGAATGAATGGATGTTAAATTTAGGATGCACTAGTCCAGCTGTTTCAGTTTATATACATATATCAAGGCTGCACAAAGCTTTTCCCCAAAATGAAAATCTATCTGAGGGCTGCGGCCAAATGTAAGAATATAATTCATGAAATACAAATACTTCTTAAGTACAGTCCTTTTATTTGAATGATTCTGTCCTGCTGGAGTGTGACATGATTTGTTTGTGTACAAACTAATACACTATCAGAGTTTTATATATTTATACTTCTCATTTAACCACAGTTAAATTCACTCTATCTAGGAGGCTCAGTTTATATGGATAGTTTTTATTTTTTACAACAACAAGCTGCAATGAAAACAAGCAGAAATGAAATAAAAGGAACAACTTAAACTTCTTGACTTTTTTAAAAATGTAAGGAGTAAAAAGTAGGCTGAAAAATAATTACTCATGTAAAGTACAGATACACAAAACTTCTACTTAAGTACAGTAACAAAGTATTTGTACTTAGTATTTGTATTACGGTGCGCAGCGCTGTGTCTTCTGAATAAATGAAAATGATTTAACACAGTTGTTTATACTTTTAGCAGCTCTTTTTATTCCACAGCTGACCTGCTAAAAATGACAGATTTTCTTTTCTGGATCTCTGACAGACGGACTTCAATCTCTGAACTCGTAAAGTTTTTCTTTTTAGTTTTCACTGTCATTTTCATGAATGGACACTTCCTGATATCTGAGGCAGGAAACATAGCCTTATATGGTGTTTTTGGGGTGGTAATTATGCTAATCTCCTCTCGCGTGCACGAGCAGCTGGATACGAACAGTTGGAATTTACGCAGCTCATTTACACACTTTTCCTGAAGATAGAAGAGTTTGTTGAATCTGACGTGACATGTTCGTACGAACCCTTTGTACGAACAAAAGTAAGAGAAATTTAGGATAAGAATATGAACATGTTCCTGAATGAGGCCCAATGACCCTGAACATACAGCTGAAATCATGCTTTAGTTACTTCTGAACCTGTGACACTCAGGATGAACAAACAGTAAAGCAGTCTTTGATGTTATTAAAACTTAGTTTACAGGTGCTTTAACTTAGGCAGGGTTTCAGATCAAAAAAGGAGGAAAAAAGAATTAGTACAAGTTTAATTTAATCAGTTATCTTATCAAATTAGGACCAGAACAGCCCAGATTTGATTGTCCCACTCAGCTGAATCTTCTCTAACAGAACCACAGCGTTCTACCTGTTGGTGGTTCAACCGTCAGGTCAGCAGGTCAGGAGAACTGCTGACCTGGCGGTTGAATCACCAGGTCAGCAGGTCAGGAGAACTCAGGCCCAGTGTAACTCCTCAGGGTTTTTGTTTTCACAGCGTCTCAGAAGATCTGCTATTTGTTAAGAGACCAAAGTCCAGCTTGCTGTTAGAGTCCTCTCTCTCAGGATAAAATGCTATTGTTAACAAATTTAACGTGGTAATACTTGTGAATATATACTTCATGCTCATATATATTTTGGGTTCCTAACTCCATTTTTTTCATAGTACAGCAAAATATGAAATTATAACAATAATATAGATGAGAGAAAGTATTTTTAGTGTAGTTTAAGTTTAATAACTAAACAGTATTTATAATTACAAAAATCATGACTGTTGAAGTAAATAATTCAGATTGTTATCTTTCCAATGAGACAAAGCTTTTGAAAATACTTTGTAACATTCATGAAGAGTACTTAATTTAATCTGGGTAAATTTTTTTCAAACTTTCGAAAGGCTTTAAAGGAATTTCAGGGCCAACCGCTGAGGGGTTAATGGTCCAATTAAAAGCTCAGTCCCACTGAGAGTCTCTGCTTGGATTTAAAGAACAGTGGACCCATCCAACCTGAGGGAGCTGCAGCAGTTTCATCATCAAGAACTGATCCTAGTGGTTAAATGGACCGAGCTCATGGAGACACAACTGAAGTATTTTTTTCTATAAATATAATGAATGAAACTAAATAAAAATTCATTTAAATTTCTTGTTGTAAGGCGACAAAAGAGAGCACCAAGAGGAGTCCGACCACCCCTGTCCTCCCTCACCTGTACGCTGACCACAATGACGAGGGCGGTCGCCGTGCTGATGGCAAACGTCTGGTAGTCTGCGAGCGGCACGCCGTTGCTCTGAGTGGCGTTGGACAGAACGGCGTAGGGGACAAAAAACAGCACCACTGACGTGTAGATGCCCTGGGCGATGCAGATGAAGAACTCTTTCTTGTTGAAGAGGAGGTTGAGCTGCCCCGGCTCGTACAGCTTAGGGTATTCCAGACTTCTGTGATCTGGAACATCCTGGAAATAGTAAAAATAAAAATAAAAAAAGGAGAAATGAGAAAACTGACAGAAGAATCCAGCAGCAAAGCTTAGTGGCTTTGTGGGTCGAGCAAAATGCAAACATAAGCATCCCTGACCTAAACCAGAACAGAAAGTCACCGCTAGAAAGGCCCGACTAAAACTACGTTATGAATGAAAACTAAAAGATTAACATATATGAGATAACACAACTGTCAGAATTAACTGTATGTGCAAGAGTCTAAATTTATACATTTAAGTCAATAAACGTTAACAAATTTTAGATCTGTATTTGTATTCATGTCAAATCACACATGTTTTATGTGAGAATACAAGTTTTGAAGTTACAAATACAAGTTAAAAAGTTACAACTTCACAACATTACAAGTGGGAAACACAAATTCACAAGTACAATTCTTTTACCCCGAGGATAACAGACATTATAAATGGAACAGGGAAAAGCATTTGGAGGCTTTGATGTATTTAAATATAGATATATTCAATTTGGTGAAATTTATTTTCAAACCAATGCATTCAATTTCAAATTATGAACATTCAGATTCACTTCCTGCTGGAACAAGATTCATCCCGTACATTTACTGCAATGCTTTTTAAAAAGACTTAAAGGCTTAATTCAAAGGCCTTTGTGTTGAATACAAACAAAAGGACAACAAATAATGATTTTGTCAATAAAGTAAAAAAGACCTGGTCAAATATGCCCATAGCCAGCACAGGGAGGGAGGTGTACACAATGTTGTAGAGTGTGATGAAGTACTGATCATACACCGTCTGCAACACAACGAGACAAACTGTCACAATCATGAAAACCCCTCATCCCTGATGTAACCCTGTCCTCTGACCTGAGCAGAGAAGCCACAGAAGAAGCCAAACCAGAAGTGCACCATGGTGAAGGCAAAGTTCTTGTAGAAGAAGTAGCAAAGGAACCGGCACATGCGCAGGTAGGACCAGCGGCCGTGGACCAGCAGGAGGCGCTGGAGGAAGCGGAACTGGGCGAAGGAGTAGTCGCTGGCCAACACGGCCTGGATCCCCTCCTGACCGGAGATACCCACTCCGATGTGAGCGCCTGAGGAAGACGAGAAGGAAAAGTCGAGCAAAACTGGAATTTTACACGACAAGTAACTGTGAAGAAATAAAAATAAATCAACTCAACACATCCTGAGGTACCCTTTGTTAAAGGAGTAATCACTTTAGTTATCAAATGCAAACTCAACACCTGGACCCAGTTAATACCTGCTGCCTCATTATTTTCTTTTAAAATCATTCTTATTAACAGTATTTCTACTTAGCATTCGCATTATTTCTTTATTTTTTAACATTGAGTTATTTTTTAATGATGTGCTCTGAACTGGTTTTAGGTGACGTTTGTCTCCAAATACGTTTAAAGAACCTGTGACGTTCAATTTTTGTAATAAACATGAATGTATTTTTAGAGAGATAACACTGATAACATGTTGTAAAACAAATTTCATATCACTGAGATGAACAGTTGTTGAGATATTTGTATGTGAAGAAACAGGAAGTGATGTCAGAGGGGAATGTCTGCATGTAAACAGAGCGTTGTTACAACACAGACTGTAGAGAAGAATCTGATGTTTCTTTACATCATTTTGTGTCACCATCAAATAGATGAAGAAGAGTTAAAATTTAAATAATTTTATTTTAATAAACAAAGACAAGAGAGTTTATTTTATTAATGAGTTCCCCTTTGATGTCACTTCCTGTTTCACTTTGGCTGAGCCAAGTTAAAAAGAAAATATGCCAGTTATGTGACAAAATGTGTAAAATAATGTGTATTATGACAATTTTCTTAAGTATAAAGATGTTTTCTTTGACTTTTTGTATTTGAAGGATATAAATGTCACAGGTACTTTAAGGAGACAACAGTAACCTGCAGATCAGACTGAAAATCAGTCTCTGACACTCTGCTTCCTTGAAGTTCTGTTATTGTTTTCGGTCGGACCCGTTTTGGGGACGGATTAGTGCGAGCTCAGTTGTGAAGTTATTTCGCCTTCAATACGAGCTGCAGTTATCATTTGTCTAATAGTTTATTTTATGTGTTGAATGTTGTGATASTGATTGTAATATTATTGCAAACATATATATTTATTAATGTAACTTTAAGTAATTCCTTTAAAAATACGTTTGTAACTAAATCCACCAGATTTCAGTTTGACAGTTTTCAGTTTAGCCAGTAGAGGACAACGTTTTCCATCTGACATTTTCTATATTAATTTATTTCATTTCTCTGTCTTAGTTAAATAACAGTTGAGTAACTGTGATACTTTACTGGACATATTGAATTTATTTATTTTTACATTTAAAGTGTGAGCAGAAAAAGATTACATGTATTGATATATTTCTGTTTGTTGTTGTTGCAGTCTTACAAAAAAGAAAACTCAAAAAGAAAAGAAATAAGATTTGAAAATGAAGCCACACATAAAGAAATAAAACGAAGGAGAAAACTGTCGTAACAGAAGATGGCAATCCTTACTGAAACTTCTTCGGAGTCTGCTTCCTTGTTTCATGTTAGCTAGCTGTCTAGCTCAGGGGGTCTGCAAACTGTGGCTCTTTAAAAGTGTGGCCGGACATAACAGAATATTTTTTCCTGTTTGTTTTTTAAACCCACAACATAACTCAATTTGTATGCAAATATGTGATCAATAACACAAAAACTAAAACATGTTAGCTCATGCTAGCCTGTTGTAAACTTATAATAATGCAACTTCTTTCTATGATCTTTCTCTCAAATCCATCAGAATTAAGCTAGAAAATAATCTGCCTGAATAGTTTTATTAGTTTTTATGAAATTCATTATAAATTACATTATTTTTCTTGTTTACATGAATCTGGTCTTTTCATTTGTCCTGATGTGTAAACATAATAATAAACAATAAAATTCATAATGTAATTTTTAGTTTCACAATGTCACCTCCACTGGCCAGAAAGGTGCCAGAAAAGGCCATGAAAAGGCCCCTGGACCACCAGTTGATAATCACAGTTGTAGCTTGTTTTTCGGCTCTGGACACATTTTATTAGTGCGTCGAGTAGCAGAAATGGCTCTTTTGTTTGTAAAGGTTGCAGACCCCTGGTCTAGCTGTAAAAGCAAGGACAGAATAGACACTATGAAGACATTTCAATCAGTGCAACCCTGATTTCAACACAGCCTCCGTCACAACTGGTAACATCAACTTCTACAACTTCTGCTGAGAATTTCTGTTGCCTAATGTGTGACTGAATCTGACTGCTTTCTGTTGTTTTTTTATATCCTCAAACTTATCTGGTGACAATATTTCTCTGTCAAACTTCAAACTCACTTTTGATCATGCTAACGTCGTTAGCGCCGTCTCCTATAGCCAGAGTGACGGCCTTCTTGTGTTTCTTGATGAGCTCCACCACCTGGGCTTTCTGCAGCGGCGTGACTCTGCAGCAGATGATTGCTTTGCACGCACAAGCTGTCGACACAAACTCCGCCTCCATGTCCGCTTCGAGAGCATGAGCCTATCAGACGACAGGAAGTACTTTTTATTTTTCATGCGTTGGATGAACGGAACATGTTGAATGTTTTTGTTTATGATCCCTGTTTGTTTCTTGTTGTGTAAAATGTGTTTTCGTACCAAACTGTGGCCGTTGACAACGAGGCCAAACTCTCCAGAGATGCTGTCCATGAAGCTGGAGGGAGGTGAAGGAAGTGGAGGGCTGTGAAACACTTTCCCTCCTCCTACATCTCCTTCTTGGTCTTGTTGGAACCCGTTCCCCATGAAGCAGGCCTCTGCCCATCCCTCCATCCCTCCCCTCTTCCCTCCATCTCTGCTACGTGACAGCTCCATCATCCTGTCCCTCGCGCTCCTGGACACAAAGACCACCTCCACATCAGTGGGAATTACTGCTGCACATGGACAAACCTACAATGAAGTTTTGTGTGTGTAGTGGTCAACAATAAAACTGTCTTTGACCCCAGGCCTCTTTGAGACAGACAGAACTCTGCTGCCAGAACAGGTCATCTCATCCATCAGACATTTTATTTTCTTTAATCAGATAATAAATACAATCATCTCCATTATTTTGATTTATTTTTCTTTTAACTAAGAGTTCTTACATTTGATAATGAGACAATGTTTATCAAAGTTACATGAGGAAGGAGAACAGATCCTTCTCTCTTTCACTGTGATTCAGTCATGTTATGGATTTTTCTGTGGAATATATTACTTATTACTTAAACTAATCGTTATGGTTTAAGTTTTATTATGAAACACATTTTTACTTTACAATTGGAGCTCCTTTTTAAAAAAATAAAGTTTAAACGCTGGAGCTCAATACTTGACAGAACTGGTCGAAGCAACGGGGTTAGAGACTCAGAAATGATTTAAAGATGTTATGCTGATGAAGACTGACATCTAGTGGTCAACTGGAGCAACTGCATGGAAAACTTTAAAATCCACGCTCTTATTTTGAAGTGAAGATAGTTTCCTGTTCTCCGTGCTTTTGTTTCCGTCACAAATCAAATCCGTCATGTACCCAGAATGCATCACTTCAGTTTTCCAATAAAATTACTTTATTGATGCTTCTTTAATGAAAAATCTAAAACAAACAAAAGAAAAAGACAAAGAAGCAGCCGAACTAGCAATCCTCAACAACTTTTTAATTTTTACACCTGGAGCTAAAGGTCTGTTTCAGGAAATCAGATCCCCAGCAATCAGCGGTTGTAGGATTAAGTTGTAAAAGGGTTCATACACCACTAGTTGGCAGTGTTGTGCATATATTGTACATGAATTATTGTCAGCTAGTGTCAAAACTTTAAAATTAGCTTCCGCTAGTTTTTCTATGGCATAAGTGTTATTGAAGTTGCGGACCTAAATATTTTCATAAGCACGTTTGAACTTGCGGACCTAAATATTTACAGAGGCACTTTAGAAATTGCGGAGATAATTTTTGAATTAGTGCTGCCCACCACTGCACACAAGGAGTCCAGAGTGAATTATAACAGGTCCACAAAGAGCTTTAGAATAAGAAAATAAAACCTGAGCTCTTGTCGAACACTCTGAACGGTGTGTCCACTGATGATGAACACCTCGGCCATGTCGTCTGTCAACATCTTACAGGAGTAACCTATGTTGACGGCTGTTTCTGTGTGCAGGGAGGAACAAAAACACATAAACATGAGTGAAAACTAAAAGAAACTTTTACATGAAAGATTTACCTCACTAAAGCTTGTACTTGTTTTTTTTCCTCTTATTGAAACTTTTGTTGTTATATTGAAAATAATTATTTCTTTTTTTTCAACAGAAGTATAGTACAGAAATGGCAGGCTTGGATTCAATTTGTCTTTAGAGATTAAAACATTTCAGTTCAATCAACGAGGATTTCATCACATAAAGATTAACAGAACTCAGATCCTGATGGTTGGATGGATGTAAAACTAATAAACTTGAAGTCAAACATATTCAAGATGGTCTCAGCAGCTAATCAAACTTATCAAACACAGAAGCTGTAACTGAGTCAGTTTTACAGAGATGGAGCTAAAGGTTGGTCCCCAGCACAAACTCCAAACAGGATATTTGTTTAAAGCTTTATGAAAACAGGTCCAAAGTGTCCCCATGCTCACCCTGCTTGTCTCCTGTGAGAACCCAGATCTTAATGTTGGTCAGAGAGAGGAGAGCGATGGTCTCTGGGACCCCCTCCTGTAGCTTGTCCTCTATAGCTGTGGCACCAAGAAGCTGGACAAGAACATAGATGCACAGTTTGCAGTTTAAACTATGGCAGCAAATCCAACTAGACAATTAAAATTTTCTGCTAAAATGTAGGTGTGTTACAACACATCGATATATTGATGCAATGATTCATGATTCAGTTATACTGAGGCCAAAATTAAAATATGGATCTATATCCTCATCATGTAACACAGTCAACGTGTTAGATGGGCAGATGATACCGCATTATATCAATTGAAGACTTGTGAATTGAATTGAATTGTTCGGTTTTTTAACCTGGGAACTCAGAGAAACCACAACAAGCCCGGCCGWAACATTAATCAATTGACACCAGAGACCAGTAAGATTTATAGATCACTTTGCAAAGAGGAGAAGTTCAGTGATACTTAGCTCAGACGTAAGCCTGGTGAGGATCAGAGA